ACAGTAGGCACTTTATAAATATTTAATCATTAAGGGAAAAAAAAGTGTAAATAAGGAAAAGATTGTCAATTCTTGGTTTGCCTAATTCCTTCTAGTGTTTCTTCTCATAAAAGTAGAAGTTATATACCTAGACTTGCTTAGATTATTCAGGTGTGTAAGAGAAATGAAATGTTGGTGAGTTAGACCTCATGCTCACTCTCACTTATTTCCAATCCTTAAGTGGGAATGAGCTCTTTGGAAGGCTTCGGGCTAGTACTGGGGATGCTTTAAAAAAAAAAAAAAAAAAACACTCAAAACAGCAACAACAAGTTCTAGCCCCTGCCCATTGAATTTTAGAGTCTGGATGCTGCTATCATATAAAAAGAGATGGTGATATATTTTCTGTGATCTGAAGAACAAGTAAAAAGGGGGGAGGGGTTTGAAGAGGGGAGGAGGCTTGAGTTGAAAGCAGCCAAGTACCGAAGTCCTGGGGCAAGGCCGTGTGGAGCTTTAGGAAACTGCATGCCCTTCAGCGAGGGGAAATTTCAAGTGAGATTGCATGGCGGGCTAGATGAGGTTTATGGGAGCGGTGAGCAGGGGCCAGGCCCTCAGATGGAGGGCCTCAGAGATGAAAAACTAAGCCTGCAATGGAAGTTTGTCCTTAACATATTCTTTGGGATTGTGGCTAAACCAGAGAAGATCTCCACATAGTGGAGAAGTGGTAGGTGTCTGTGCTCTTGCCCAGTGCATCTGAACACAGTGTACAGACTAGATGTTCTATATACATCATCACCAGGGAGTTTCTGAGCAATAGGAGTTCTACTTCTTTGAGGTGGGTGTCCAGAACCCACTGGACTGGCACTCTTTACCCTGGATTGGGGGAGTCATAGACCACTCTATCGAAAGAGCACTCAGTTACTTTATCTTGTGTGTAATTTGGCAAAGTCTAGGTTTTTGCTGATGGTTAAATGAGTGAAAATAATGGTGATTCAGATGGAAGGGCAGCTGGAAGTTAGGGAAAATATTGGTCATTGACAAAAATTCTGAGAACTTTAAGTTGTATCCAACTGAGAAAATCTCTCCCACAAACACACTGTATATTATATCCTCTAATGAGGATATATTACATAATTGACATCACTAAACAGCACTATGGGTGATTGTGATTTCTTTGTCTTGGAGTTTGGTAATATGCTCAAGTTTACAGGGCTAGTAAGTGACAGGGCTGGGACTAGACCCCTAGTCTGAATTCCTCTCGAACACACCATCATTCCACTCTTCTCTGCCTAAAGCAAACTTTGTGTTCCTTAATACTCCAAACTACCTCAGGGGGTGAAATAAGGATTCTGTGTGCAGAGAACTGGATTGAAATACATAGCTAAAGTAGTTAGAAATACCACAGTAAATCAAAGGTATGAACAAAGAGGAGAAACAGATAATATTCATTGACAATATGACGATCTACATATGCAGTGTCAGATACCCTCAAGATTGGGGAATCACGAAACCAACCTGGAAAACTCCTTCCTGTTGGGAAGTAAATCAACTAAAACAGAAGTCACCCAAGAGGCTCTGACTACTGAAAAAAAGGCTAGATCAGCATCATTTTTTTTTGACAGTCCGCCTCTCTCTTGGGTCCCCTGTCTTACGTTGTGGTTTTCCTATCTCACATCAAGTCAGGGACAAGAACCTGTAAGGTTTGCATTAGGGACACTGCTCCAGTTTTCGTGGGTGTGGAGTTTCCCAGTTCTTTGATTTGAGAGACAGGACCCCCACGAAGACTGGGGAGACAACCACCCCACATTATAGGGGGTCATTCAGAGACCTGCCAAACCTGCTCTCAGGCCTAGAATGCCCAGGCAAGGCAATCAGAGTGGGTATCCCCTCTTTTACTCCTCAGAGTTCTCAGCAAGGTCAAAGTCTTAGCCTAAGGAGAATGGTCACACTTCAGTAGAGGGAGGATCCTGGGTTGGATAGGTATCAAGCTGAGGTCCCTGGGTGATGAATGTGGGGACCACCGACTCCAGAACAGTGGTGTTCCAAAGAGACTTGACTCTGCTGTCCGCCTCTCAGGACCCAAACATCCCTAGCGTAATGTGGCTCACTCTTCCACCTGGGAGGTCTCAGGAAGGAGCAGCCCTTGATCCCAGCAGAGTAACCTCATGTCAGACAGGATGGAGTCACACGACTGGCCAGGAGCAAGGTCAGGTCCCTGAGTGAGTAAAGAGGACATTGCTAGACCCACAAATGAGGGGGCTTTACAAACCCTCGCCCCCATTCTTAATCGTGAGAGGCTTCAGGCAGAGCTAAAAGGGCGAGAAGCCTTTTTATTTCTGCCTGGTGAGTCTCAGGGAGGGAAGGGCCTTGTCTAACAGGATGGGCCCCATTTCTGCAGAGGGTTGGGAGTCAAGGTGAGGACCCTCAGTGCTAATGAGAGAATCTCTTCCCAAAAGACAGAGGCTCACAGAGTCCTGTCCCTCTTTTCAAGCCTCTGGGGCCCCAGGCAGTTAAGTCAGAAGCAGTGCACCCTGACTCCTCACTAGGGACTCGGGAAGGTGAGGGCTTGCCTTGGGGGCTGGCTGACTTGGGTCAGTAGGGGGAGGAGTCCCAAGTTCATGGGATCGCAGTGTTTTGAAGTTGGTGGTCCCCAGGTCCTCAGTCAGGGTCCTCACTCACTCAGGGTCCTCACCTTGGTATCTATCAGAGCCTGATAGGTGAGGACCCTGACTGAGGACCTAGGGACCACCAGCTTCAGAACACTGCGATCCCACAGAGCCTAGTCCTTGCGGTCAGCCCTCAGAACCCCCGGCAGCCATAGCCGGATATGATTCACCTGAACTTCCGCTTGGGAAACGGGGGTGGGGGAGATACATCGACCAGTGGGCGTAGCATTTGTTCCACCGAGGGTGGGTTTCCAGGACTTCTCTGAAGTCAAGGTGAGGACCTGCATGTGAAGTGAAGGGACCATTCCCCCTCCTATAACAAAAGTGGCCCCACAAAGTACTGCCCCTGGGGTCGGCAATGGAAGGTCTTGGCATGGCTGTTACACTGAGTTCTGCCTAGAAAGTCTTAGGGAGGAAGGCCTTGGTCTAAGAGAGTAGCCCTGATTCTGCAGATGAAGGAAACGTAGGCCCTAACTGGAGCAGAGGGGAGGGTCCTGAATGCTAATGAGGGGGATCTCTTCCCAGTAGAGATGGCGACAGAAAACAGTACCCCTACATTTGGTTCCAGGAGGCTCCAGGCAGGGACAGTTTTATTTGACAGGCCCTGACAACCACCACCTCCCACTCCCCGAGAGCTCCTGGAAGTGAAGGCTTTGTTTGGAGCTTGGTGAACTCAAATTTAGTGGAGGTAGGAGTCTCAGGCTCTGATAGATACCAAAAGGAATACCCTAAGTGAGGACCTAGGGACCACCGACTCCAGAACAGTGGGGTCTCTCAGAGCCCTGCCCCTGCTTTCAGCCCTTAGAGACCCTGGGCAGTTATGGCCGGATATGACTCATCCTTACTTCCGATTCAGTTTCCAGGAAGTAAAGACATTTGTCTGTGGGTGAGGCCTCTGGCCCCCTGAGAGTGAATTCTCTGGACTAGTCTGGAGTCAAGGTAAGGACCTTGCATGGGGACTGAGGGGACCATCCAGATCCATAACACATGAGGCCCCACTAAGTCTCACTATTGCTGTTGGCAGAGCTATCAGACTTTATGCCTGGAAAGTCTCAGATAGGGAAGGCCTTGGTCTAAGGGAGTAGCCTGGGTCCTGCAGATGGAGGAGACCTAGGCCCTGTCTGCAGTGAAAATGAGGTCCCTGAGTGCTAATGAGGGGTCTCTTCCCAGTTAGGGAAAGCAGCATCCCTGAACTTATTTCTGGAGGCTCTAGGTGGGAGTAGTCCTATATGAAGAACCCCGTCTTTCCCCTCTAGGGACTCAGAATTTAAGGATTTGCTCTGAGCCAGGGGGCCTAAGTCCTACCAGTGTATTGGAGGCAGGAGTCCTAAGTCCTACCTGTAGTTAAGGTCAGAGACCTGAGGGAGGACTAAGGGGGAGCATCAACTCTAAAAAGTGTGTCTCATAAATTCTGACCCTTCTCTCAGCCCTGGGAAAACGCCGAATATTTCTTAGGCTGAGGCACCCGCCTCATTTCTGTCTGGAGAGTCCCAGAGGTGAGGCTATTGGACTAAGTGAGTGGCCTCAATTTTGCAGAGGGAGGAGACCCAGGGCTTCACAGAAGTCAGAGTGAGGACCCTGAATGAAGAGTGATGGTACTCACCCCCCAGAAAGCTCCCCCCCTTGTCTGCAGCATTAAGGAGCCCAGGCATGGAAGTCAGGGGTGTGTGAACCCTACTTTATTTTTGATGGCATCAGGTTGGTGAGAACCTTTGTTTGAGGGGAGAGACATCAGATCAACAGAGGAAGGTGTCCCAGGCCCTACCTGGAGCCAAGGTGAGGACACTGAATGAGGACTGAGAACCCCAATGACTCTAGAACAGAGAGTCCCACAGAACTGTCAGCAGGTGGTGGCAGTAGTGGGCTGAGCCAGCAGTAATGGGCCGAGGTGCCCCTTTAGTTCCTCTTGAGGGGTCCCAAGAAGTTGAGGACCTGGGTTTGAGATGTAAATTTAGAGCAGCACAGAGGAGGGGGCCCAGGCCCTGCCAAAAGTTGATATGATGGTCCTGAATGTGAACGGAAAGGATCCTCATACTCCAGAGTAGAGAGGATCCCACAAGGACTAGACCTGCCACCGCTGCTCTCAACCCCAGTAAGCACCGAGCAGGGCTGGCAGGCTGCAGCCTGAGGCTCCCTTTAATTATTTCCACAGGATTCTCAGAGTACAGGTTGATCATAACAGGAGCCCTGTGGTTTCCTAGAGCCGTGTCCTCACGGAAACCTGCAGAGGCGGCCTTGGTTAAAGCCAAGGTGGTCTCTCCTTGTGGAAGGTGCTCCCTTTCATCCTCTCTTCTCTCATGCCCAGATCACCTGCCGTCCTACCCACACTCCTACTTGCTGTCCCTGGCCACACTCATCATGCCTCGGGGACCGAAGAGTAAGCTCCACACCCATGAGAAACACCACCAAGCCCGAGGTGAGATCCAGCGTCGGAGGAGTGCTCAGGCCACTGCAGCCAAGGAGAAAGCATTCCCCTCCTTGGCCCCTCCTCCCTTTAGTGTTCTTCCTCACAGAAAGCCTGCAGCTAGGTCACATAGCACTCTCAAGAAGTCTCAGAGAGCCCTATCCACCAAGTCTGCAGGTGTTTCTCACACAAGATCATACAAAGGAGCCAACCGCAAAATTGAGAAAAAGCGAAGTTCCTCCCAGGCCCCACTCACCACTGTGCAGTCTCAAGGAGACCCTCTAACCAACATAACGGGTATTTTGGTGCAGTTCCTGATGCACATGTACAAAAGGAAAAAGCCCATCGCAAAAGCCGATATGCTGAAGATTGTCAGTAAAAAGTATAAAAATCGCTTCCTTGAGATCCTCAAAAGAGCCTCTTTCAGCTTGGAAGTGGTTTTTGGTGTTGACTTAAAGGAAGTCGATTCTACCAAACATTCCTATATCCTGGTCAGCAAGATGGACCTCCCCAACAATGGGACCATAAGCCGTGGCAGAGGATTTCCCAAGACCGGTCTCCTGATGAATCTCTTGGGTGTGATCTTCATGAAGGGCAACTGTGCCACTGAAGAGAATATCTGGGAGTTCCTGAATAAGATGAGAGTCTATGCGGGGAAGAGGCACTTCATATTTGGAGAGCCCAAGAAGCTCATCACCCAAGATTTGGTGAAGCTTAAGTACCTGGAGTACCGCCAGGTGGCCAACAGTGATCCTCCACGCTATGAGTTCCTGTGGGGCCCGCGAGCCCGCGCTGAGACCAGCAAGATGAAAGTGCTAGAGTTTTGGGCCAAGATTAATCATACCGTCCCCAGTGCTTTCCACTCTTGGTATGAAGAGGCTTTGCGAGATGAGGAAGAGCGAGTCAAAGCCACGGTTACACTGCAGGCTGAGGTGGATGCCACGGCCAGTGAATATCCCAGGGAATGTCCAGCAAGTGCCTCCCACACCTAATGAAGTTGAGGGGAATTCTTCACGTTGTGGCTGAAGAGAGCAGTCAGTGTTCTAAGGAGCGGAGGGCAGGGTGTGACTGAGGGAACACAGTGTATAATACCTCTGCGCTCCTGTTCTGTATGGGTAATTTGGAGATTTATCAGCATTTTTATTTTTTGCTCTTTTTCAAATGTTGTTACTTTGAAGTGAAGGCTTATCTAGCATTATAATCTAAATTTATGAGTTACATTGGTCTTGTTTATTGTTGTTTGTCAGGTTTAAGAGTTAAGAGTTTTGCTGTTTTATAAAACAAATTAGGAAAATTTCCATCTTACTTAGTAATCTGGTACAACGTAACATGGCATTGGTGTATGCATTTCCTTGAAAACATGAAAAAAATAAGCACTAAAATATATGGAATCGATACAGAGGAAAAGAACAAGATGGTTGGTATTTGGCTTCCTAAGCCCTTTTACTCTGTGTTTTAAAAAATTCCAAATAACAGTACGTGCTTGACTAATTGAAGAATGTAGAATTAAACCTTAATGAATTAGACCCCATGCTTACAGGCTCATTTATTCCCCAAACATCGCCTGAGCATCTGCTCTTAGAAGGCTTCATGCTAGCACTGGGAGAGCTGAGAAAAAGACCGAGACATTGACCATAAAATTATAGAGTCGAGAAGTGTCTATCGTATAAGGAAGAATGGTGATATTCACTCTAAGACCGAAAGGACATGTGGAAGGATGGGATAAAACAGGAGAGAGGTGGTTCCAGATGAGAGCAGTTAAGTGTCAGTGCCCTGCAGCAAGGCAGCGTCGGGCCTTCGGAGACTGCAGGTCCCTCATTGGGAGGTAATTCTAAGTTGACTGCATGGGGCGGGTGGTCCATGAGGCTGTTATCATAGGGAGCAGGGGCCAGGCCCTCACATGGTGGGATTCAGAGTTGAAAGACTAAGCCCAGAATGGCAAACTGCCCTGACCAGTTACTTTGGGATGGTGGGAAAGCCAGAGAGAAATCACCCGAGGCGGGGATGGAACGTGTCCTGTGCTCTTGTCCCGGGGCAGGTGAATGCAGTGTGCAAATTCGAGGTTTTATTTACATCATCTCCAGACAGTTTCTGAGAAATAAGGGTATACTCCTTTGGAGTGGATGCCCAGAATCCACTGGACTGGCACCCTTGGCCCTGGGGTGGGGGAGCCAGGGCCCACTCCACTAAAGCATCATTCATATTAGGTTATCTTGTTTGTCATTTGGCAAACTCCAGGCAAGGTCTAGATTTTTGTTGGTGGTTGAATGAATGAGAGTCAGAGTGGTTTAGAAAGAAGGGCAGCTGAGAGGAAGGTACATGTGGGGGCCTTGAAATATGTTTTAGGAGTTTTGTGTTGCATCCACTAAGGAAGTCCACCTTATGCCAACATTGGATGACATACTTGAATGGGGAAATAATTACTTAGGGTTCCTTGCTAAGCACCATTTTGTCTGATAGAGTTTTCTTTGTTCTAGAGCACTGCATAGTTCCTGACATCCCCTGGATTAAAAATTAAATCTCATTGCAGTGAGTTGAAACTCCAGGGGACAAATTAATCGTAAGAACTGGCACCCTTAAAGCTCAGTACAGGCCAGGCAATGTGCCACGCACATCTACGTGCATTATGGACATGCTACCAGTCCCCAAGACAGAGCCATCAAACCCATTTCACAGATGAAAAGACAGCCTCACAGAGTTCAGTGTTGTGCCCAATTTCACATGGCTGCTAAGTGACAGGTTTGGAACCAGACCCCTGGCCTGAATTAGTCTGAAGCCCATACTTTTCTACTCCTCCCAGCCTTAGGCTAACTTCATATTCTTTATTTCCCCCTTTCTTCTCACTACTACAAAAATTGTCTCAGGTACTAAAAAAGACTCTGTGCCCAAGATACTGGATTAGAATACGTAACCAGAGCAATTACCATATCAAAATAATTGAGAAGTGTGAATAAAGGAGAGAAAGAGATAATATTCAGTGACAATAGGATCATCTATATATCCAAAGTCAGGGGCTCACAAAATCATTTCGGATATTCCCTTCCATAAGGAAAGTTACATCTATTCAAACAGAACTTACATAAAAAGCTAAGTCTGGTTGCTAAAGAGAAGAAATGAAGTATTTTTTTTTCCTTTGACAGCACATGTGTTCGGGGGTCTCTGCCTTGGGTTACAGCTCCCCTGTCTCACATCACTCCTGGGACAGGGACCCAGTCTCTGAAGGGTTTGCAGTAGGGAAAATGGTCAAGAGTTTGCAGGGACATGGCCTTTCCCAGGAAGCCTTCAATCAAGAAACAGGAACCATAATGAAGATCCCTTTATAGTAGGACAGGGGAGAGCAACATGCCAGGCAAAGTTGTCAGTCTGAGCATCCCCTCACTTATTCCGCAGGGTTCTCGGGGACAGGTGAGTCCTGCCTTAAGAGGCAGCCTCAGGTCACTAGGGGGAGGATTCGAAGTCTCTGACACATATGAAGGTGAGGACCCTGAATGAGGTGTGGAGAGAGCAGCCACCCAGAGCAGTGTGGCCCATAGACTCCTTACCCTGCTGTCAGCCCTCAGAGTCCCCAAACAGCCTTGGAATGATGTGGCTGAAACTGACTTCCACTTAACAGGTCAAAAATGTGAAGATCTTGGTCTGAGGTTGATTGACTCAGGTGAGTAGAGGTAGGATTTCCAAGGGGTGCCGGGAGGAAGGTGAGTACTCTAAAGCATTCAGGGGCCACCAAACCCACATCAGTGGAGACTCACAGAACCCTTCAAACTGTCCTCAGAGCTCCAGGCATAAATGGCAGGCAGAGCTGGCCTCATATCCTCCTCAGGGGTAACAGAAAAGTGGGGGAGGTCCCAGGTCAGCAGGGAGAGGAGTCTTGGGCCTTCACATAAGTCAGATTTAGGGTACTGAGTTAGAACCCTGAGTGGGATCACCATCATAGGGCCTCATGCTGCCTGCCACAGCTGTCACTTGTGGAAGACCTTGGCAGGTGTGGCCAAATAAGGCCACCCTTGCCTCTTCCTATTAGATCTCGGGGAGCTATAAGCCTTTCTTTGGGGAAATGTCCTCAGACCAAGAAAGAGAGGAACCTCGGGCCCTGCCAGGAGTCAAACCAAGTAAACTGAGTGAGGACCAAGGGGACAGCCTGTCCCTGAATAGATGGGAAAACAAACAGTCTGGCCCTGCCCTTGCACTCAAGACTGAAAGCCCCAGGGCAGGGTATGAGGCTGAGTGCCCCCAGCATCACTTGTTTGAAAAAACTGACTTCATTCTTTAGAGCAATTTTAGGTTCACAGCAAAACTGAGCAAAAAGTATAGAGTTTCCATCTACCTTCTTCCCTGACACACACACAGCCTCCCCTACTTTCAGCATCCTGCAGAGAGTGGTCCATGTGCTACAGTCTCTCAACTTACAACCACATGTCATAAAGCTCATAGTTACATTAGGTTGATTCTTGGTGTTGTTACATTCTGTCCAGTTTGACAAATCTTTGATGACTTGTATTCACTGTTACAGCATACATAGTATACAGTATACATAGTAATTATTCACTGTTACAGTATACATAGTATACAGTATACATAGTAATTTCACTGCCCTAGAATCCTCTATGTTCTGTCTGTTCATCCCTCCCTCCGCCCCCCCCTCCCAGAAACCACTGATCTTTTTACTTTTTCTGTAATTTTGCCTTTTCCAGAATGTCGGAGAGTTGGGATCATGCAGTATGTAGCCTTTTCAGATTGGCTTATTTCACTTAGTAATACACATCTAAGGTTCCTCCATGCCTTTCCATGGCTTGATTAGCTCATTTCTTTTTAGCACTGACCAATACAGGCATACCTCAGACATACTGTGGGTTTGGTTCCAGACCACGGCAATAAAGTGAGTATCACAATAAAGTGAGTCAGAAGAATTCGAAGCAACTCCTGATCCATTACAGTGTGATCATGAGATCGCAACAATACAGTCCCATCTTCAGGCTTCACATAATTCTAGTTCTCTTGCTCTCTCCACCACATCTGCCGTTACTTCCTCCACTGAAGGCTTGAATCCTTCAAAGTCACCAAGGAGGCTTGGCATCAACTTTTTTCAAGCTCATATTCATACTGATATTTTGATCTCTTCCCATGAATCATGAATGTTCTTCATGGCATGTAGAATGGTGAATCCTTTTGAGAAAGTTTTCAATCAACTTTGCCCAGATCCATCCAAGAAATCACTATCTGTAGCAGCTATAGCCTTATAAAATATATTCCTTAAGCAATAAGAATTGAAAGTTGAAATAACTCCTTGATTTATGGGCTGCCGAGTGGATGTTGTGTCAGCAGGCATGAAAAGAACACTCATTGTCCATCTCCATCAGAGCTCTTGGGCGACCAGGCACATTGTCAGTGAGCAGTCATACTTTGAGAGGAATCTTTTCTTCTGAGCAGGTCCCAAGAGTGGTCTTAAAATATTCAGAAAACCATGTTGTAAACAAATGTCCTGTCATACAAGCTTCATTGTTCCTTCTACAGAGCACAAGCAGAGTAGATTTAGCATCATTCTTAAGGGCCCTAGGATTTGGGGGATGGGAAATGAGCACTGGCTTCAACTTCCAGCCACCAGCTGCATTAGCCCCTCACAAGAGTCGGCCTGTCCTTGGAAGTTTGAAGCCAGGCATTGCCTTCTCTTATCTAGCTATGAAAGCCCTAGATAGTGTCTTCTTCCAGTATAAAGCTGTTTTATTTACACTGAAAATCTGCTGTTTAGTGTAGCCCCCTTCCTCAATGATCCTGGCTGGATCTTCCAGATACCTTGCTGCAGCTTCTCCATCAGCACTTGCTGCTTCACTGTGCACGATGATGTTATGGAAACAACTTTTTCCTTAAACCTCGTGAACCAACCTCTGCTGGCTTCAAGCTTTTCTTAGGCGGCTTCCTCGCCTCTCTCAGCCTTCATAGAATTGTGAGTCAGGGCCTTGCTCTGGATTAGGCTTTGGCTTAAGGGAATGTTGTAGCTGGTTTCCTCTTCCAGAGAGTCCAGACCACTCGTGCTTTCTCCCTATCAGCAAGAAGGCTGTTTCGCTTTCTTATCATTAGTATGTTCACTGGGGGAGCACTTTCAATTTCCTTCAAGAACTCTTCCTTTGCATTCATAGCCTGGATAACTGTTTGGTGCAAGAGGCTGAGCTTTTGTCCTTCTCGGCTTTGGACATGCCTTTCTCACTAAGCTTAATCATTTCTAGCTTTTGTTTTTGTTTTTGTTTTTTATTATGTTCAGTTAGCCAGGATATAGTACATCATTAGTTTTTGATATAATGTTCAGTGATTCATTAGTTGCATATAACACCCAGTGCTCATCACAATACGTGCCCTCCTCAATAACCATCACCCTGTTACTCCCTCCCCCTACCCCCTTTCCCTTCTGAAACCCTCAGTTTGTTTCCCAGGGTCCATAGTCTCTCATGGTTCATCTTCCTCTCTGATTTCTCCCCCTTCAGATTTCCCTCCCTTCCCTTGTGATCCTCTGTGCTATTGCTTATGTTCCACGTATGAGTGAAACCATATGATAATTGTCTTTCTTTGCTTGACTTACTTCACTTAGCATAATCCCCTCCAGTTCCATCCATGTCGATGCAAATGGTGGGTATTCATCCTTTCTGATGGCTGAATAATATTCCATTGTATATATGAACCACATCTTCCTTATACATTCATCTTTTGAAGGACATCTTGGCTCTTTCCACAGTTTGGCTATTGTGGACATTGCTGCTATGAACATTGGGGTGAATGTGCCCCTTCTTTTCACTACGTCTGTATCTTTGGGGTAAATACCTAATAGTGCATTTGCTGGGTCATAGGGTAGCTCTATTTTTAACACCTTGAGGAAACTCCACACTGTTTTCCAGAGTGGCTGCACCAGCTTGCATTCCCACCAACAGTGTAAGAGGGTTCCCCTTTCTCCACATTCTCGCCAACATTTGTTGTTTCCTGTTTTGTTAATTTTTGCCATTCTAACTGGTGTAAAGTGGTATCTCATTGTGGTTTTGATTTGTATTTCCCTGATGGCTAGTGATATTGAGCTTTTGATTTAAAGTGAGAGATGTAGGACTCTTCCTATCGCTTGAACATTTAGAGGCCACTGCAGGGTTATTAATTGGCCTCATTTCAACATTTTTGTGCCTCAGGGAACAGGGAGGCCTAAGGAGAGGGAAAGATATGGGGAACAGCCGGTCAGTGGAGCAGTCAGACGCACACAGAATTTGTCAACTAAGTTCACCATCTTATATGGGTGCAATTTGTGGTGCCCCAGAAACAATTACAATAGTAACATCACAGATCACTGGTCACAGATGACCATAAGAAATATAATAATAATGACAAAGTTTGAAATATTGCAAGAATTACCAAAATAAGACACAGAGACACAAAGTGGGCACATGCTTTTGGAAAAATGGCACCAAGAGACTTTCTTGGGGCAGGGCTGCCACAAAACTTCAATTTGTAATAAATGCAATATGTGGGAAATGCAGTAAAGTGAATCACAATAAAACAAGGTAAGCCTGTATTCCATTGTTGGGGTGTCATGATTTATTTATCCATGTACCTGCCGAAGGACATCTTGGTTGCTTTCAAGTTTTGGCAACTATGAATAAAGCTGCTGTAAACATCCGTGTGAAGGTTTTTTTGAGGACATAAGTTTTCAACTCATTTGGGTAAATACCAAGGAGCATGACTGCTAGATAGTATAGTATGTTTAGTCGGGTTTTTTTTTAAACGCTTTATTGAGGTACGATTGACAGACAAAAAAGCTGTACATAGTTGATGTGTACAAATTGATGAGTTTGTAGATGAGTATGCACCCATGAAATTGTCACCACAATTTATATTATGAAAACGTCCATCACCTCCAAAAGTTTCCTCTTGCCTTATTTATTTATGTGTTATAAGAACACTCCCTATAAGATCTATCCTCTTAACAAAATTTTGAGTATACAATACAGTATTGTTAACTATAGGCTCTATGCTGTCCGGTGGACCTCTAGGATTTATTTACCTTGTATAACTGAAATTTTGTAAGCTTTAATTAATACCCCTCCATTTCCCCCTCCTCCTAGCCCCTGGCAACCACCATTCCACTCTCTGATGCTGTGAGTCTATTTTAGATTCCTCATATAAGTGGTATCATGTAGTATTTGTCCTTCTCTGTCAGCTTTATTTCACTTAGCATAATGTCCTCTATACTGTTGCAAATGGCAAGGTTTCCTCCCTTTTAAGGGTGAATGATATTCCATTGTATGTATGTTTCACCCTTTCTTTATCCATCTGTCCATCAATAGACATTTAGGCTGCTTAGCTATATGTCTTAGCTATTGTGAATAACACTGCAATGAACACGGGAGTGCAGATATATCTTCAAAATCCTGATTTCAATTCCTTTGGATATATACCCAGAAGTAGGATTGCTGAGTCATATGGTAGTTCTATTTTTAATTTTTTGAGGAACCTCCATACTGTTTTCCGAGTGGCTGTACCAATTTACATTCCCGCCAACCATGTAGAATATGTTTAGTGTAATAAGAAATTTCCAAACTGTTTTTGCAAAGTGACTGTACCATTTTGCATCCCCACCAGCAATGAATGAGAGTTCCTATTGCTCCGTATCCTCACCAGCATTTGCTGTTGTCAGTACTTTGAATTTTGGTCATTCTAAAAAGCATGCAGTGGCATTTCATTTTTATTTTAATTTGCAACTTTCTAGTGGTGTATTATGCTTAGTATCTTTTCAATGCTAATTGGCCATTTTATATATCCTCCTTGATGAGGTATCTGTTCATATATTTTGCCCATTTTTTAACATTTATTCATGACCTGTTTTTATTTTTTTATTATTATGTTCACTTAGCCAACATATAGTACATCATTAGTTTTCAATGTAGTGTTCGATTCATTAGTTGCGTATAACACCCAGTGTTCATCACAACACATGCCCTTCTTAATACCCATCACCTGGTTACCCCGTCCCCCCACCCCCTCCCTTCTGTAACCCTCAGTTTGGTTCCTGGAGTCCAGGGTCTCTCATGGTTTGGCTCCCTCTCTGATTTCCTCCCATTCAGTTTTCCCTCCCTTCCACTGTGGTCCTCCACACTATTCCTTATGTTCCATATATGAATGAAACCATATGATAATTGTCTTTCTCTGCTTGACTTATTTCACTTAGCATAATCGCCTCCAGTTCCATCCATGTCGATGCAAATGGTGGGTATTCATCCTTTCTGATGTATTTTGCTCATTTTTTGGTTGGGTTGTTTGTTTTCTTCTTATTGACTTTTAAGTGTTCTTTGTTTATTTTGGCTAACAGCCTTCATCAGATATGTCCTTTGCGAACATTTTCTCCCAGTCTGTGGCTCATCTTCTTATTCTCTTGATGACTTTTTTGTAGGGCAGAAGCTTTAGTTTTAATGAAGTCTAGTTTATCAAGTATTCCTTTCATGGATCCCCATCACTTTTTATATCATGTCTAGAGGAGGTGAGATCCTTGGTCTGAGGGTCCAGTCACCAGTCAGCCGAAGGTGTGTGTGGGGGGGTGGAGCAGTCCACAAACCTGTGTGGTGTCCAAATGAGGACCCTGAATGAGGACCCTGAATGGATACTTAGGACCTAGCAACCCCAATACAGAGAGGTCCCCACAGAGCTATAAGCACTGAGTGCCTCCTGGTAAGGGTGGTGGCCTAAGGTACATTACTCACTTCTTTCTCATGGGTCCCAGGGAGCTTTAAGGAATCAATCTCAGTGTAGCAGAGAGAAAGGGTTCGAAGTCTTGACAAAAGTTATTATAATAATTTGGAAGGTAAACATAGAGGACCCCTTGCCACGTTAGAACACATGTGGCCCCACTACCAGCCATCCTGTCACACTAGTCAGTAAAGGACAGGGCTAGCAGGCTAAAGCCTAAGGCTCACTTTGTCTCCAGTAGCTTCTCAGAGCAGGCTGAAGGAGAACAGGAGCCTTGTAGGTTCCTAGAGAGTGTCCTCAAGAAAACCTGCTGAGGTTAAAGCCAAGGTGGAATGTCCCTGCTGTAGGTTCACACACCATGCCATTGTCCCTCCTCCAGGCGCCCTCATCGCCCACTGTCCAGCCTGCTGTTCGTGAGCACAGAGTCATCATTCCTCAGTATCAGAAGAGTAAGTTCAACAACACGAGAAATGCCACTAGGCCTGATGTAAGACCCAGGATCTCGAGGCGGCTTAGGCCACTGCAGCAAAGAGTCCCCCCTCTCCTCCTCCGTTTTGGGGATGCTCCCTCAGATTGCCATATTGCTGGCATTGCTGGGAGCCTCAGAGATCCCTACTCACCATTATTACTTCTGCAGCTATTTCATGCATGAGGTCTGAACGAGGTGTCAAGAGCCACGATGAGAAAGTGCAAGTTGCTCTGAAGCCCCAACCTCTGCTGAGAGCTCACTGGAACATTCCCTATGCAGGACATGAGCATGTGGGCACACTTCCTGCTGGAGAAGCATGCAGTGAGGGCACCCATTAAAAAGGCAGACATGTTGAAGATGGTCAACAAAAGGCACAGGGAGCACTTCCCCGAGATCCTCAGGAGAGCCTCCGAGCGCGTGGAGCTGGTCTTTGGCCTAGAATTAAAGGAAGTCAAGCCAGGCGGTCACTCCTATACCCTCGTCAGCAGCCTAGACCTCACCAGTGACGGCAGTGTGAGCAGCATCTCGGGCTTTCCTAAGAATGGGCTTCTCATGCCTCTCCTCGGTGCGATCTTCTTGAGTGGCAACCACGCCTCTGAGGAAGATATCTGGGGATTCCTGAATATTTTGGGCGTCTATGATGGAAGGAGGCACTTCATCTTTGGGGAGCCCGGGAAGCTCATCACCCAAGATTCGGTGCAGGAAAAGTACCTGGAGTACCGCCAGGTGGCCAACAGTGATCCTCCACGCTACGAGTTCCTGTGGGGCCCGAGGGCCCATGCTGAGACCAGCAAGATGAGAGTCCTAGAGTTTTTGCTAAGGTCATGGCCTTCCCATTCCATTATGAAGAGGCTCTGCAAGATGAGGAAGAGCGAGCCTGAGCCTGAGCCGCAGCCGGGGCTGCCTCTACTACCAAGGCCCGGGCACATACCCAGGCCGCCCACCCCGCCCAGCCGTTCCTCTCGTCCCTAGACCGGGCTAAGGCAGATTCTTCGCTTTGTGGTTAACAAAAGCAGTTGGCTAACTAGTGGAGGGCCCAGGTGGGGTGCATAGGAACACAAAGTGTAACACACTCGTGTTCCTGTACAGTGCATAAATTGGAGATGTTTCTTTTTCTTCCTATTTTAAATGGCTTTCCTTTCAATTAAAGGTTTATTTAGCTTCAGAATCCAAGTTGATGAATGACATGGGTTATACATTTCTTGGAGTTTATCAGTTGAAAAATAAGAATTTTAGTATTTTGTAAAACAAATTGAAACCCTTGAATTGTTTCTTGTCATTCAGAACTAGGTAACGTTTAATTTAATATTCTTTAATTGCCCAAATATTAATTTAGCCCTTGCTCTTTGGAAGGCTCCTGGCTAGTACTGGAGATGATAAGAAACATAGGCCCAACCCCTGCTTACAAAACTGTGGAGTCTAAGAGCAGCTCTCATATAAAAAATAGGTGGTGAGATACTCCCTAAGATGAAAAGGACTAGTAAAAATAAGGAGTAAAAAGGAGGGAGGGGGCCTCCAGATGAGGAGTTCTAGTGTAAAATGCCCCAAGGCAAGGCAGATTGAGCCTTTGGGCAGCTGAAAGCCCTGTGATAGGAAGTAATTTTTTTAAAAACTTATTTGTCATAGAGAGAGAGAGCACAAGCAGGGGGAGCGGCAGGCAGAGGCAGAGGGAGAAGCAGATTCCCTGCTGAACAGGGAGCCCGATGTGGGGCTGGATCCCAGGACCCTGGGATCATGACCTGAGCCAAAGGCAGACGCTTAATGACTGAGCCACACAGGCGCCCATGATGGGAAGTAATTTTTTTTTTGTATTTTTTTTTTATTCTTATGTTAATCCCCATACATTACATCATTAGTTTTAGATGAAGTGTTCCATGATTCATTGTTTGTGCATAACACCCAGTGCTCCATGCAGAATGTGCCCTCCTCAATACCCACCACCAGGCTAACCCATCCTCCCACCCCCCTCCCCTCTAGAACCCTCAGTTTGTTTTCAGAGTCCATCGTCTCTCATGGTTCGTCTACCCCTCCGATTGATGGGAAGTAATTTTAAGTTAGCTGTATGGTGGGCTAAATGTGGCTGTGGAACTGGTGAGCCAAGTGGTGGGTCTCTGAGTTGAGAGATTTAAGTCTGGAATGGAAAACTACCTTTAACAGTTACTTTGGGATTGTGAATAAATCAGAGAGGATCTCCACCCAGGGCACGGATGGAACATGTCCCATGCTTCTGTCCCCAATGCAGGTGAACACAGAGCACAAACTAGGTGTTTTACACAAACCATCTCCAGGGAGTTTCTGAGACATAAGGGCCGTACTCTTTTGAGGTTGGAAACTCAGAAGCCACTGTGCAGGTACTGTTTCCTGTAAGTTGGGGAGTCAGAATCCATTTTATCAAAAGAGCATTCAAATTCAGTGTTACTGTTTTTGTTTTGTTTTGTTTTTTTACTTGGCTTCTAATTCTGCAAATTCTAAGGGAGGTATAGATTTTAGGTGATGGTGAAATTAATGAATATAGGGGTGCTTTCAGTAAAAGGGCAGAGGAGAGGAAAGAATTAGTCTTTGAATCCAATTCTAGAGGATTTGAGTTGCATTCCGCTGGAAAAAACTCCCCCATGCTCGAAATATGATTTATGGGGGGGGGGGAATTTACTTTAGTGTCTCTGTAAGCAGCACTTTGGACTGATTTGGTATTCCATGTCCTAGAGTGGCATATATTCTCTGATATCTACTAGATTAAAACAAATATTCCATCAGGGTGGGTGGTATCCTCTGAGGTCAAAATAATCATAGCCTTAGTAATTACAGGCATTGTGTAAAGTCTCAGTGCATTCCAGGCATCTTTCCAGGTGCTTTATGTACATTAACCATGGTCCACCAGGCCCTGCGAGACAGGATTTAACAAACCTTCTTCACAGATGCAGAGCCTGAGGCCCACAGAACTTGCTAATGCACCCAGTTCAAAGAGCTAATAAGTGATAGGGCTAGGCCTAGACCCTTGGTCTGAATCTGTCCAGAGCTCACACTTTTCCACTCCTCCCAGCCTGATGCTGACCATCAATCACTTAATTCACTTTCTTTTACCACTCCAAAATGTATCTCAAGCCGATAAAAAGGACTCTGTGACCAAAACATTGGATTGGAATACATAACCAGTGTGATAAGAATACCAAAATAAATCAGAGATATGAATAAAGGAGAGAACAAGACAGTGACAATATGATCATCTACATGGGTAAAATCAGATATCTTCCAAAGATCAGGGGTTCACAAAATCATCTGGCTCCATCCTTCTCTGTAAAAAGTAAATCTTTTATGTTGATGTTAATGGCGGGTATTCATCCTTTCTCATGGCTGAGTAATATTCCATTGTATATATGGACCACATCTTCTTTATCCATTCGTCTGATGAAGGACATCTCAGCTCCTTCCACAGTCTGGCTATTGTGGACATTGCTGCTATGAACATTGGGGTGCATGTGCCTCTTCTTTTTACTATATCTGTATCTTTGGGGTCAATACCCAGTAGTGCAATTGCTGGGTCATAGGTGAAATAAGTCAAGCAGAGAAAGACAATTATCATATGGTTTCACTCATATGTGGAACATAAGGAATAGCATGGAGGACATTAGGAGAAGGAAGGGAAAAATGAAGGGGGAGAAATCAGAGGGGGAGATGAACCATGAGAGACTATGGACTCCAGGAAACAAACTAAGGGTTTTGGAGGGGAGAGGGGTGGGGGGATGGGTTAGCCCGGTGATGGGTATTAAAGAGGGCACGTATTGCATGGAGCACTGGGTGTTATATGCAAACAATGAATCATGGAACACTACATCAAAAACTAGTGATGTACTGTGTGGTGACTAACATAACATAATAAAAAAAAAAAAAGTAAATCTTTTAGAGCTATCCTAAGTGTGGCTGGTGAAGAGAAGGAATATATCAGCTTTTTTTTTTTTTTTTTCCTCAGACTCCACAACACCTGTCCTGGGCTCCCTGATGTATGCTGCTCTTCCCTAATCTTACATCAGTCTTGGCACATGGACTCATTTTCTGCAATATTTGCAGTAGAGAAACTGGTCGAGTGTTAGCACGTACACGTTGTTTCCCAGGAAGCCTTTAATCAAGAGACAGGCCAAGATGAGGACCCCCCCATGAATGAGTACTGAGAAGACAACTACCCCAACATACTGGGGTCATCCAAAGACCTAAGGATGGTGACCTTAGCTCAGTAGAAGGAGTCCCAGGCTCTGAAAGATATGACGAGGACCATGAATGAGAAATGATGGAAGGACCCAGCCAGAACAGCAAGGTCCTATAGTATCACATCCCTGCTGTCTTTTGGGAGACACCCAAGGACCATGATCAGATGAGGATCACCCTCACTTCCAACTTGGAATTCTCAGGAAAGGAGGACCTACAGGTAAGATGAGCAGCTATAGGAGAGCACAGAATGAAGTTACATGATCGGTCATCTGTCAAGGTGAAGACCCAAGAGTAGCACCCACAGCATAAAAGGAGGTCCCACAACATCTCCTCTGCTGTCATCCCTGGGAAGCCCTGGGCAGAGCTGATTTCAGCCTGGAAAGTCTCAGGAAGGTGAGGGCCTCAGTTTAATGGAAGCTGCCTCGGTTTTGCAGAGGGAGGGACCTGGGCCCTAACAAGAATTCATGTGAAGACCATGAGTGTTATCAGGGGACCCCAAAGCAGAGGGGGCTAAGTAGAATCCTGTACCATTCTTAGCCTTGGGGGACCCAGAAGAGCCCTGAGGAGTCCCCTCATTCTGCCCGGTGAGTCTCAGGGAAGGAATGGCCTTATCTAGCAGGATGGTCCCAGCTCTGCAGAGGGAGAAGTCTTGACCATAGCTAGAGTCAAGGTGTGGACCCTCAATGCAAGTGAATCTCTCCTGAAAGGGGGAGGTTCACAGAGCCCGCCCCCCCTTATGAGGCTTGTGCGGCTCAGGAAGGAGTACCCCCGAGCGACAGGACCAGAGAGTCCCCTCTAGGGACTCAGGAGGGTGGGGGCCCTGGGGGCTGGCAGGCCTGGGCCGGCAGGGGGAGGAGCCACAAGCGCCGGGGTCCCACAGAGCCCCGCCCACCCCTGCGTTCAGCCCCCGGAGACCCCGGCGCCGCCGCCCCCGGATGCAGATACCCCGACTTCCGTTCTGGGCGGGACCTCAACCACTGGGCGCGGTGGTTCCTTGGGCGGCGGACTGTTTCCCAGGACCGGTCTAAAGTCAAGGTGAGGACCCTGGGGGGGACTGAAGAGATTATTCCCCCCCATAACAAAGTTGGCCCCCCTGAACCTGCCCCTTCGGTCGGGCTCTGGGGGGGTCCCAGCGGACTGGCTGGCCGAGCAATCCCATCGTCCTCAGGGTGGCCTCAGGGAGGCAGGGCCTTTGTCTAAAGGGGGCGGCACCACTCCTGCTGGCAGTCCTGAAATTCAGGAGTAATTTGGGCTGAGATAACCCCTCATTTCTGCCTAGGGGGTGATTCAGGTAGAGAAAGGCCTTTATCTAAAGGAGGCAGCCCCATGAGCAGAGGGAGGAGTTTTGGCCCTAAAGGAGTAAAGGTAGGACCGTCAGTGCTAATAAGGGCCCCTCTCCTCAAAATAGGGAGCTGCACAGAACAGCACCCGGCTCTCATATCTGGGAGTCCCCAGGGGAGGTACCCAAATGTGCAGCACAGTGACTTCTTTTCTAGCTACTCTGGGGCCTTTGCTTTAAGGCTTGTAGACTCAGGTAGATGGAGAAATCCCAAATCCTACCTGGAGTCGAGGTCAAAGTCCTGAATGAGGTCTGAGGGAGCCACTGCCTCCAGAACAGTGGGGTTGAAGGGTCTCGCCCCTGCTCTTAGCAGGCATAGGCCCCAGTCAGCTCACTCTGGCTGTCAGCGTAGGTCCCAGAAATGCGAGGACCTTTGTCTAAGGGTCATGGCCTCAAATCAGCAGAGGGCAGAGCCCCAGGAAGGGTTTGGAGTCAAAGGGAAGATCCTGAGTAAGGAAATGGAGACCACTCAGTACCCAATTGAAAGAGTAGCCTAGGGATGCCTGGGTGGCTCAGTTGGTGAAGCGTCTGCCTTGCGCTCAGGTTGTGATCCCGGGGTCCTGAGATCGAGTTCCGAATCGGGCTCCCTACTCAGCAGGGAGTCTGCTTCTCCCTCTCTCTCTGCCTCTCCCCGCAACTCACATTCTCACTCACTGTCCTCTCTCTCTCTCAAATCAATAATAAATCTTTAAAAAAAGAGTAGCCCATGATGCCACCCCTGCTGTTAGCCCTGGGAGTCCTAGGAGTACTCTCATTTCCTCCATTGGGTTCTCAGGAGACGGGCAGACCAAGAGCAAGAGCCCTGTTGGGGCTTAGCGCTGTGCCCTCACAGATATCTACAAAGGTGGCTTCTTAAAAGCCAGGGTGGTCTCTCCCTGCTGAGGTGCTCCCACTCTCATCTTCTCCGCTCTAGGTACCAGCATCTTCCACCCTCCTGTCCACTCTTGGGCCCGTTGCTCTGACCCAGTCATGCCTCGGGGCCAGAAGAGTAAGCTCCGCGCCCGTGAGAAACGCCGCCAGGCCCGAGGTGAGCCCCAGGGCCTTGGGGGTACTCAGGCCACTGCAGCAAAGGTTGAAGAGTCCCCCAAATCTCCTGTTTCTGGGGATACTCCCCCAAGTTCCCCTGCTGCTGGCACTTCCCAGGAGCCTCAGGGATCCCCAGCCACTAGCTCTCCTGCTGCAGGTGTTTCACGCCAGAGATCTAATGTAGGTGCCAAGAGCCAAGTTGAGAAAAATAAAAATTCCTCTCAGGCCTCAACTTCCCCTGAGAGTGCTCGCAAAGATCTTCTAACCAGGAAGGTGGGGATGCTGATGCAGTTCCTGCTAGAAAAGCATACAATGAGGGCACCCATTAAAAAGGCAGACATGTTGAAGATGGTCAACAAAAGGCACAGGGAGCACTTCCCCGAGATCCTCAGGAGAGCCTCCGAGCACGTGGAGCTGGTCTTTGGCCTAGAATTAAAGGAAGTCAAGCCAGGCGGTCACTCCTATACCCTCGTCAGCAGCCTAGACCTCACCAGTGACGGCAGTGTGAGCAGCATCTCGGGCTTTCCTAAGAATGGGCTTCTCATGCCTATTCTGAGTGTGATCTTCTTGAGTGGCAACCGCGCCTCTGAGGAAGATATCTGGGGATTCCTGAATATTTTGGGCGTCTATGATGGAAGGAGGCATTTAGTCTTTGGGGAGCCCAGGAAGCTCATCACCCAAGATTTGGTGCAGGAAAAGTACCTGGAGTACCGCCAGGTGGCCAACAGTGATCCTCCACGCTACGAGTTCCTGTGGGGCCCGAGGGCCCATGCTGAGACCAGCAAGATGAGAGTCCTAGAGTTTCTGGCCAAGGTTCATGATACCGTCCCCAGTGCCTTCCCATTCCATTATGAAGAGGCTCTGCGAGATGAGGAAGAGCGAGCCCGAGCCCAAGCCGCAGCCCAGGCTGCCTCTATTACCAAGGCCGGTGCACGTTCCCGGGCCAAGTCCAGCCGCTCCTCTCGTCCCTAGACAGGGCTGAGGCAGAGTCTTCGCTTTGTTGTTGAGGAGGGCTGCCATCGTTGAAGTAGTGAGAGGCTAAAGTGGGCTTGGCGAGGCCATAATATTTATCTTCTTTGTTTTCCTGTTATACATTGGTAGCTTACAAATATAGTTCCTTTCAATAGAATGTTTATTTAGATTCAGAATCCAAGTTTATAAATGACATGGATCACACATTGCTGTCAGATTTAAGAGTAAGAGTAGTTTTGGTGTTGTGTAATAAAGCCTGAAAATCCTTGCATCTTCTCTGGGTTCCAGAACAACATAATATGGCTTTGGAATGGGGATTTTCTTAAGAGTAAGAGTTTTGGTGTTGTGTAATAAAGCCTGAAAATCCTTGCATCTTCTTTGGGTTCCAGAACAACATAATATGGCTTTGGAATAGGGATTTTTCTTGGAAATATGAAAGAACTAGCAAAAATATAACTGTGGTTTTAAAATGGAAATGAAGTAAAATGTAGTTAAATATTGGTTTGTTCTATTCATTTTTGTCTTTCTCTCTCTAAAATTCAAGGGTATATACCTGAATGTCCTTAACTTATTCAAGAATGCAGATAAAATTAAATAGTAATAAGTTACGGGGCGCCTGGGTGGCTCAGTCGTTAAGCGTCTGCCTTCGGCTCAGGTCATGATCCCAGGGTCCTGGGATCGAGCCCCGCATCGGGCTCTCTGCTCAGCGGGAAGTCTGCTT